GCAACAGATCCACCTTCACTGCATAACTTTCGTTTTTTAATACGATTATTTTCTTTACAATCTAAATCCTCATCTAAATCTAGTATAATCGAAAATGAAATCTTGAAAAAATTTTGCCGTCCATCAGCCATGACCCTTTACTTTATAATTTCCAATTAAGTTACGTTTGCTAATCACACACTCAACTAGCTCTTCAGCATCGGCCCAGACGACCCGTCGGGATTCTTTTGCCTTCTTGCCATTTACATCAAAATTATAAATATTTGTCTTATAAGTGTTTTCCAGCACTTTTGAAGTTTTAGAGAGATGTGTTGAATAGCATGGAGGTATTGCGTTTTTACCAGCATGAGAACTTATAAAATTCGTAACTTTTTTCATCTCATTATTAAAAGCTCTCAGGTGAAGTTGCAACAAATCTAAATTCTTAAGCGGAAAAATTGGAGGAGTTTTATTATTATCTAATTCAATTTTTATTCCGCCATCCAGTATAGATTAACAAACTCTTTTCACTATTATTTTTACACTGATCCTCTTATTGTTTCAATAAAGTAGATAATACTTGCTATTTTTCTTTCTGAGGGTGATCATTTACCATATTAATTAGGTTTTGTTTTGCGTGAATATTTTGTTCGGATTCAAATTGTACACATTTATGATTTTTTTCTTTGGTTACTTCACCCAAACATTTCGTACAAATTTTTAATATGTTTTTGACTGCTGATAGTACTTTAAAATCTTTTTTTCCTTCATTTTTTATATAAGGTGGTAACCAAATAAGCCATTTCCAGCATAGATATTATTTTCTATTTTTACTGGTTGACCAACGATAATTTCTTTTTTTTTGTGGCCCTTATACCTTGCCGTCAAACAAATATAACAATTGCACTGACAATTCTCTGTGTTATCTGAAGTTCGTGTTAATTTTTGTAGTACCATATCTTCATAATTGGGCATGAGTTTAAAAGATCTTTTAAAATTCTCGTTATCGTGCTCTGTCAATATTTGACGACAAGTTGTACAAAGTCTAACTTGAAACTTTGAGTCCGTAGAACAGAAATTTGAATTGATAAATTTGTTTACCAACTGCTCATATCGAGGTGTTATTTGAAAACAATTCAGGCTTTTTTTCCAATAGTGATTTTTCTTCCACAAGGAGCACAGACTTTTTGTTTATTTTCCTCGTGATCGCACTTGTGATCACAGTTTTTACTCATAGTTTTCTTGACGTACGTTTACAGTTATATCTTCAAGACTAAATGATCTATCTTCTATAAAAAAATTGTAATATTAAGAAGTTGTATGTTTAATATTGAGCATTGGATTAGAATTGAAAAATATCATCAAATTAAATAATGAAGTTATCACCCTTTTAATAGTAGTTAAAAAAAAATTATTACACTTACTTACCAAAAACTGTGTATATATATATATATATATATATATATATATATATATATATATATATATACGTAAAAAATCAGTTTCTTTATGTGCACAGATTATTTTACAATTAAACATAAATTCCAGTAACAATTTAATATATTGCTGCAAGGTGATAAATAGAATAAGATAATATGAAAATGTTCCTTTTTCATCGATTAATTTAACGTCTATGAATATTATCAGTAGTTTTAACTAGTGAATAACCACGAATACGTCTGAAAGAAAAACATTGAAATTAAAATAAGTTATGAAATTAGAATTAATGAGGTCTAAGTAAAAAATATAAATTATAACTAAATAATTTCCTGTATCTCATGAGAAAAATCAGTTTCGATTTTATCCTTTGCATTTTATTCGATTACAAGGTATTAGCAATCGAACTGTCCTAGCCGTATTCGTCGTTATCGTAGGTGAACATTTTTTGGCTTGAGAAGAGCCGTACCTACGAGGTTCTACCTCATAACTTAATAAAGCTTATCTACCTATCTATCTCTCTCATTTCTCTCTCACCTCTTTCTCTCTTATCTTTCTATTTCATCTTTCTCTCTCTCTCTTTCTCTCTCTCGCTATTAATTTAACCAACTAACTAAAATTTTTACGCTATTAAATTAACTAACTTTGTTGGTTAATATCTGTTAACAAAGATTTTTCCGATAATTTCGAATTATGGCTAAACTACCTATATGACACGCTGTATTTTTTTTGCTGTTTAGTTTTTCATTAGCGTTATTATTAATGTTGTAAATAGGAGATAACTATTTTGCACATTTGCAAAAAGAGCGTAAAAAGGGCTATCCAACGTAAATGACAAATCGAGATCTATGTATAAATAGACTTGATGTTGTACATGCTAGGAAGATTCTCTTCTAGTTTTGCAAAGTGAGCGCTTGAGATCGAATAAACTTGACTTCTATCTGAAATGGTCCTCTCTTGTGATTAGCTATGCAAGCATTTCCTCTTTCATTATAATTTACGCTCGATTCATAGAACACTTCGCGCTAAGAGGAACTTGGGCTGGATTATATTCTTTTTTCCAAATAAACTTATACTCTACTCATGGGACACTTCGTACTATAAGAAATTAGGGCTAAGACTATTTTTCATTAATGCCATTCCAAATTATTATATTATTTCATAAATTTTATTTTAATTTACATATAACAATTATATGTTATGAATAACTTTAAAATTGATTTTCATTTATATATATATATATATATATATATATATATATATATATATATATATATATACAGTGCCGCTCAGCCACTTTTACCCCCCCACGGGCAAAATCAGTCTAACTTCAAAGTTTTATATCTCTGGTAGAAATTAACGTACAGAGACGCGCGTGGGTGCGTTTGAAAGGTCTTTCAGAGAGCTTTCAAATGATATGACTCACGGTTGCCATCGATTGTTTTTTTAAATTTTGCAACAATTATGCAAAATTGAAAATTCTGAAATTATTTATTATTTTTGACAATTAGCCAATTGTGGAAAAAAAATCGTACGAAAATTTGAAGTACACCATTTTTTAGCTATTACCAAGCCCTATCTGAATCACTCATCAGAAATTTATTTTCGTCAAATATGACGCGCGCACGGGCATTTTTTCCTGGAAGTGACAATTTTTTTCAACATTTTTTATCTCCGTCAAATTGTAACAATCGAAAAAAATTTATAGGAGAAAAAATGTTTGTTTTTTCACGTAGAATACTGCAATAATTTTTTTTTTGGTTTTTCGAAAAATTTTTTTTTTCGGTTTTTTTTCAATTTTTTTTTCTTACAGTCGGTACGCTAAAAAGATGAGAAACCACCAAAAAAAATTTTTTTCCACCCATTCAATAATACTACATAACAAGTATCGTAAATTAAATAAAAAAAAAAATCTTTTTTTTTCGACCTTGAAAAATAATTTAAACCGAAAAAAAAAATTTTTCGAAAAACCAAAAAAAAAATTATTGCAGTATTCTACGTGAAAAAGCAAACATTTTTTCTCCTATAAATTTTTTTCGATTGTTACAATTTGACGGAGATAAAAAATGTTGAAAAAAATTGTCACTTCCAGGAAAAAATGCCCATGCGCGCGTCATATTTGACGAAAATAAATTTTTGATGAGTGATTCAGATAGGGCTTGGTAATAGCTAAAAAATGGTGTACTTCAAATTTTCGTACGATTTTTTTTCCAAAATTGGCTAATTGTCAAAAATAATAAAAAAATTTCAGAATTTTCAATTTTGCATAATTGTTGCAAAATTTAAAAAAACAATCGATGGCAACCGTGAGTCATATCATTTGAAAGCTCTCCGAAAGACCTTTCAAACGCACCCACGCGCGTCTCTGTACGTTAATTTCTACCAGAGATATAAAACTTTGAAGTTAGACTGATTTTGCCCGTGGGGGGGTAAAAGTGGCTGAGCGGCACTGTATATATATATATATATTGTAACAGGCTGCCGTTTAACCTGTGACCTATTAATTGTATTTATTACTTCGGTCAAACGACGCCTTGTTAGCTGCGTGCCGTAAGCACGTTAACCTACCTTGTCCGGGAATGCGCCTGCGCAGAGTTCCCTCGCCAATCCGAGTTGGGTTCCCCAACTCGCCACTTGGCGGCGCTGTCGCTCTTGCTTAGCAGCGCTCCTGCGGCCGCTGCTGGAAACTCGGTTTGCGATTCGCTTCTATCGGTATCCGCGTGATCCGTGCTACGCTACCGGCTTATTCGAATCGAATGTCAACAAACATGCATTCCGGACAAAGGAAAGACAAAGCAGTGACTCGATTTAGAATAACTATTGTCCACTTTATTCAAATGAATTAAATACACAGGGGATTTGCCGAGAGACTCACGCACGCGAATATAAATGACAATACGCCTGGGTGGGAGAGAGAGAGAAAATCGCGAACGACGCGAACTAACCGCTCGCACGCTATAAATAATTTCTCCGCGCGCGCTGCACGGAATCGCACGCTAACAACGATAATAATGAATAATATTGTGCAGTGCACCTACCGCGTAAATAATGGAGATACGGTGGCCAACCGTATCCAACACACTTGCTGCGGATTAACCGCTGCGCCGCTCGCCGCACCGCAACTGTCTCCTCGCTGCTTGGTGTCGCGGAGCTGCTGGGATTGCTGAGGTTGACGGAGTTGCTCCAACAGTTCGCGAAGTCGCGCACTTTCAGCAGTGCACGCACTCCTCACTCTGGTTCACACCCAGAAAATCGCACACACAGTAGTTTCTAAAGCCGGCACGCTCGTGGAAACTATGCTGCTGCCGGACCGAAGGACACAGTCGTACTGACTACCGAACTCTCCCCCTCCCGGTCATTGCCCCTACGCGTCCTCTCTCTCTCTCGAACCGATCGCGGCTATTCCGCTCAGCCGCTTATTAACCTACGCGAGTCGAACGATTTTCGGTAATCGTTGCAATATATATATATATATCTATCTATATTCACTTAAGTCAATTCGAATTCCTGATTAACTCGAGAGATACAAGAGTACTCAATATAAATAAAAGGTGATTTGAAACATCACAAGATAATACACTTACCTTAATAGGTATAGCCATGCTTTTTCTCAAAGAAGCATTCAAATTCAATAATTCTGGAACTCTGCACCAGTGATCTGGTGAACTCGCCATGAATATTTGATTAAATGCACAGAACCCGCATGGTAAACAAGCTGGTAAGCATATAAACCATAAAAGCTGTTTTTGATACCATCCAAATTCACCTAAATCATGCAGAAGTTCGTCCATATCAAAACTGTCCTGTAAAATATCAAATAAATCAATAAAATTTTCAAAAAAAATACTTTGATTTATCAAAATTAATAACGTATTTTAATTTAAAAATAAAAATTGGCATATCTATATCTATATTTAGAGTAACGTCACGCTCTTTATACGGTTATGAAATTTGACTCTTGCTCTAATACAATCATATATTACATGAGGTGGCGCCGTTTAATATTTTAATTGATAGGTGTAAATTTGCGAGTTTCGTGGGTTGCCGTAATACAGTGAAAATGAGAAAAGTGTCTAGGAGCTCATAGATAGGACCGTTACATAGCCCCCTCATGAGACCGAATGATGCACATGAAAAAGGTCTGATGAATCGAGTTCCCTATGAGTGTAGATTCTCATTTTCTTTGTTATGTTTTGTTTGTTTTGTTTGAAAATAAAAGAAAAAATAAATAAATATCGGATTCAATCCCAAAGAGATCGCAAAGCTTCCTTCTCTTCTTGCTACATTCCTCAAGCTGGTTTCCTCCGGGTGTTGGTGGATGCTCTGGTGGAAATCGGATTTCTTCCAGATGCTGACAGAGCTTCTTAATTTCCTCCTCCGTTTGCTAAATCCTCGCCTCCCACTTACGGATGGCTTTGTGCATCCTGCGCCTTCGCTTGCTCGAGGTAGAAGGTGGCTGCGTGGAGGGTATGGGTGACGTTGGGTGAGGTATACTAGACGGAAGGAAGGGAAATATGAAATTAGTTTAAAATTCCACTGAGATGACGTTATTTACCGATCAATTAACAATTATATTAATCCTATTGTTATGAATATAAAGAAAGTCAGATCAGGAAGATTTTGCCTAAATGCCCGAAAATTAAATAAAAAATTAGTAAAAGATTATGAAGCCCCACTACATATGAATGATATTTTTCAACATTGTTTCGGAATGAATTTCATTTATATTTAGTTTTGATTTGACAAGTAGTTTTTGGCAAATTCATCTAAATAAAGCAAGTAAGAAATACACTGCATTTAATATTGAAGGTAATACCTACGAATTTAATGTATTATCTATTGGTACATACACTAGTACAGCAACATTGGTAACAGCATTAAATTTATCAATCGGCGATATGAAACAATTTATAACCACGTTTGTCGATGATATATTATTTATTTCTAAAACATTTAATGAACATATATATTATTTACGTATGCTACTTACTCCGGTCTCTAACATCCAAAACAAAAAAATTTAGATAAATCTCCCTGCGCGTAGAAAAATCCTATTAAACCCCGCATTCCACCAAGTTACGTGTTCCTCGCTATTCCCTGCGTGAACGCCCTGGCCCTCGTCGCTTACCGCTCCCTTCCCATCTCTTGTTAGGGATTATCGGCCCAACTGTACTTTGCACGTCAGGCACGGTCTTTTGAGGCCTATCTCTCTCTCTAGATTCTTTTAAGGAAGAGTTGTCGCCTCTTGCCTGACCGGTGACCGTCTCTGGAACCTTCCGCGGTCGACCTCGACGTCTCTTGGTTGGGGCGGATACCGGTAAATCCGACGCCTCGGTGGGATCGTTACCTATGGCCGTGGGGGCTGCTAATTCGATCCGCTCGCTCGATTAAATTCGCCCCGGATATTCGCACGATTTCGCGGAATCGTTCGCCTCCGACGGCCCTTCTTCGCGCGGTTCGCGAGATTCGCTGATGCACGCTTCCTCGCTTTCTTCTTCCCCCGGACCGTAATACGTCTTAAGTTCTTTGGCCTGGAAGAGCTCGGGCAGGATCTCCAGCTGATTACCCAATCTGTACGTGTTGGAACCACATAATTCTTCAATGAAGTACGGACTGGTGTATTTCGTCGCAAATTTGGTCGATATGCCTTGTGCAGCTGAGGAGAGTACCCTGCTCTTCTTCCATACCAATTCTCCGACCTTAAACTCGGGTTGCCGTCTCTTCCGATCGTAATGACCCGCCTGACGCGCCACTTCCTCCTTTGTCTTGGAGTTGGCCCGCTCCAATAGATTAGGGAGCTTTTCCATATGTTCAGCCCAATCTACTACAGCTTGACCTTCCGAAAACTCAAGGGCCTGCTGATCTTGGATTCTTCTGAACGCCAAAGGAGGTACCGGCTGACGCCCAAAGATCATCGCAGAACTATACCCAGTGGCGCTATGAGTTGCCGAGTTCACCGCGAAGTTGAACTCTGACAGGTGCTCGTCCCAGCTCTTATGATCACGGCTCACATACGACGTGATCATGGGTTTGAGCGTCCTGCTTACTCGCTACAAGGTCTACAAGGACTAGGACATACGAGGGTCGTTTGAAAAGTCCGTGCAAAAATAAAAACTGCTAGATTTTTTTTTAATAAATCTTTTTTATTTTTCAACATAAGCTCCTTTTAGGCTTATACACTTCATCCAACGCTGCTCTAGTTTGTTAATCCCTTCCAAATAATAGGATATGTCCAAGTCTGTAAAATAGGCATTCGTTTCTGCAATCACCTCCTCGTTTGAATAAAATCTTTTCCCCACCAGCCATTTTTTCATATTAGGGAACAATTAGTAGTCCAACGGAGCCAAGTCTGGAGAATAGGGGGGATGTGAAACGAGTTGGAACCCTATCTCCATCAGTTTTGCGACCAATTAGCGCTCTTGTCGCACGCCGCCTAATGAGTGGGCTTGGTGGGAGAGCCCGGCGAGAGCGCGAATGCTGACCATGCGTCAAGTCGCGTGAGGTAGTTCTCGGAAGAAAGTTGAGGAGAGAAGTTGGAAGTAGCAGCGCGATGAGAGAAGAAGAAACACACGTGCAGCAGTGACCAGACCAGGGCGAGCCGAGGCAACGTGTGGAGGCAACACCTGCAGCAGGGCATTCAGTGTCGCCCTCGCCGCCATGCACTGCATGACTTCCAGTGGGTTCACCATGGGCTACGCCGAGGAAGACGTCCAGCCAGCGGCCAGGTCAACTCCCCGTTGTCGGCTCATCGCCAAGGACAAAGGTCAGGTTATCTCTCTCTCCCGGTATTTCTCTCTCTCATGGTGATGCGCGGTCGCGTAGGAACGATACGTAGCCAGGCGATCACTTGCCGGCTACGCTCATCGTAATGCGGTAGAGAGGTTTCAACGTATTCTTTCCTTTGTAAGGAGGTAAATGGCCAAGGCGATTTAGTCGCCGGGCCATTCGTCCTCCCGCGTTAGTTCAAGTTGTTCTGTATATGTGCGCGTGGTGTAAACGTTATTGTAACTGATTTTGTATTTGTTTGTCTGAATAGATTTAAGTTGTATGTTCCAAGTAAAGAAAATCATTTATTCGTTCGACCTATCCTCTCGTTCCCCGATTGTTAAAGAGCGAAAGTGCCTCTCTTACTCTCCCCTTAATAAATTAGTGACGTCAGTGCCGAATAAGGCGCTGCCCCCGTTACAGACCTATTAGTGTAGATGAGGCGCCGGTATCATGGAGTGCTCTAATGTTTAAGTCACTTATGTCTACCCGCAACCATTATCTGGTCTCATCGTCTGGGTAGTATCCACGAGTCACATTCTCTCCTTCATCTTTCGTACTTTTTAGCAGATTCTTACCTTCAGCCGCTGGTACGATGATGGGCTTGCTGGTACTCGCGGACTCCTTAGGCAGGGGAACTTTTTATTTGGAGGGGCCCGAACCCTTCGGATCTTCGGGTTGCTCGATCCTTATACTAATCGAGTCTTTTCCCTTCTCCACAACTTGTATGTGGCCACCTGGTCTTGAAGGAGCCGGTGTGTTTCCCGGGATCTCAGAATCGTAGTGGCAGGTGAATATGTCCTGAAAGTCCACATTGCGTTTAGAGCACGGTTGAATCAAGTCGCGCTGGTATGAACGGACTGCATCGGCCATTTCATGCATTCCGTCCTCCAGCAATTGTATTCTTTGGCGCATGTCCTGCACTTCCCGTTCCGCACACACCTGTATGCTCTGGAAAGTCTGAAGGATCTCTAGGATCCGATCGACCAGCTTATGGTTACGATCGACTCCCTCCCTCAGGTACTCTATTTCTAGGAAGGCTTCGCTCAAAAATTATTCTCTTTAGGGCTTCTTCCGGGTTCAGGATTCCTATGACCTCAGATCCGGGTTGCTTCATCTCCTCTCCCCCTCTTCTTATTTCTAGGTGTGGAGTACCCGCTGGATAATGTCATTCTCTTCTTGATGGCTGGTTTCAATCTCCGAATCTTCATCCAGGCAGGCGAATATCCTTGACATATTTTCAAGGTTATTTCCTCCCTGTTAATGAATCTCAGTGGATGGTCTCTGTATTCTTCTGCGCTAAGGTTTTCCAACTCGTCGTAGATGTATCGAGCCGCGCTTGTCGGGTGCGCTTCCTGCGCCCCGCTACCTGATTACTACGCCTGGTATTCTCAAAACCTGCAACGTTGTACTCACCTAGCAACCATCTCCCTAGACTAGCTGCCTGCTGGATGACGCTTCCGTCCCTGAGCAGCTCTAAATCTGCCAGGTAGCGTTGGTGCTGTGCGGAGGTCAGCTCTAATACCCACGTGTCGATCTGGGCTGACAACAGAGCCATCTTACCTCCGTACGTGTGTAGAATGCGGTCGAGGTTCAAAATATCTGCCTATTCGACCATTACCGCTTCCTATCACCCAAGGTATGAGCGAGGTATTACTGTTGAACTATACGTAATAACTATACTGTACACACATACAAATGTAATATAGATATATCCATGAGTGATGATGCGCGCGCCGCTATCAGTATATATGTGAGGATGTGTGAGTGCGTGCGCACATATACAGAGTATATGATAGTCAGTCGGCTATGTAAGAGACAAGAGAGCGCATCTCGGCGTGGCTTATACACATGTGTGTGGTCTGTATGTATCAACTCAATCATTGACATTTTTGAATAAATAATCATATCATTATTATTGTTATAATAAAAAGAACCTCAACACTATAATTATTTCAACGATCCACCTCATATTCAACATGGTAGCAGAGCGTGGTTTGAAAAAAAGTGAGAGGTTAGGTTATACACGTGGTGTGAAAAAAACTATAAAAGTATAAAAAAAAGTGAATACAAAATCAGGTAAAGAATAAGAAAAAATTGAGAACAGTAAAAATTCAAGTAAAATGAAATCATAATTTAAACAAAAAAAAAAAAAAACGAATTTTTGAGACAATTGAAACACGAGGTGTGTAAAAAAAGTGAAGAGAAAAATATACTATGTAAATAATACAAAATATAAAAATATGAACGATTTAGAATAAAATGAACTTTTAAAAATAATGTGTAAAAAGAATTATACAAATTAAATGAAAATTGAACGAGATGCGCGCGGATAAAGTTTGAAAATAAATTTTGATAAGAGAAGCACGTGTAACGAATCCGAGTAAAATGACAAAGCCGGACGAAATATCGATACCCGTTTTTGACGGTCAAGAGTATAGTAAATGGAAAAAACGAATCCTTTTATTTTTGGAGTGGAAAAAGTGTAAAGACCAAGCAATAAAAGAAAAATGTGATACTACGGGAAAAGAAATGGAGTGGAAAGAATCAAATATTAAAGCTATGAATTACATATACTCAAGTATATCGAACAAACAACTTGAATATGTCGGTGATGAAGACACCGCGTACAAAATAATAAAAAAATTCGACCAAATGTATTTAAAACCGTCAACATGTTTACAAATTTGTGTGAGGAATAGACTTGATCGACTAAGATTAAAAGACTTTGAAAACTCAAGCACATTTTTCCTTGAATTTGAGAAATTAATTAAGGACGCTCCAGCATATAGAGTCCATAAATAAGATATGACACGTTTATTAGACGACCATTCACTGAATTCGTTGGTGTATTTATTAACTGCCCGAGCCGTGGAAATTTTTGAGATATTTCATCTTAAAGTTTGTCTCTATGCGTGCCTGTTTACACATGCTCATATGGAGCGCGATGCGAGATAGGTTAAAAATGGATCAATTATCGTCCGCAATAAAGAAGTTCCGCAGCGAAAAACAAACTTATTATAGATAAATTTTTCAGTTTTCCATTGATGCTTTACAAAGTATGTGTAGCCGTGTAAAATCTCGAGATATTTGTAAAAGTTTACTGAAAAAATACACTAGCGACGTTATATCCGTCTTCTAAACGGATGCCATGTTTCTGTCAAAGCGCGCCGTTTTTGAATCATTTAAAATTTGAATATTGATTAACACTTATCATCTTTCAATAAAAGATATTGTAAATGAATAAAAATAAATAAATTTAACTATTGTTTCGTTTAATGAAACAAATAATTAATTGATGAATAATTAATTGATATTGATGTCTTTTTAGATAATTAACAAATGACAAGAAATTGAGTTTCAAAGAGTGATATTCTTTATTTTATTACTTATTGCACTAATGATTTTAGAATTAGAAGTAACCCTTGCTTTTTTATTGACACACATTGATAATAGTATTTTGATTCCATCTTTAGGATCTTTTTTATAAGCATCTACTAACGTTTTCTCAACAATTCCTTGTGTCGCCATTTTAGAAATTATATTAGCTGTTACTACATCTTTCAATACTTTCAATTTTTTTTTATTCTGATTAATTAATATTTTCAACTTTTATTGTTGTTGTCTAAATTGTGCGGCTTCTTGTAACTGTACTAGGCTCTTACTCTGATTTATTATTTCTTTATCAGTTACGCCTACATATTCGATTAACTTTTTCAAAGTTTTGATGTCTTGTAGGGCATCGTGCAAATTTACAATGTTTTCTTGTGGCAAATAATCTTTTACTAAATTTGTTTCTGAAAAAGATAGCTTTTGTTGAACTCTCTCCGGTAATTTCTTCTTTAAAACATCGAGTGTATCAGAGTACCCATATACAACCTGCGTAAATCTTTCATATAAGCCAAACTGTCTAGTCAATTTTTCAATGCGTAAAGCATCAAATCTGCAAGTAATGTATTAAATGAATAATAATATTTAATACGAACGAATTGTAAACGAATGAGGTAAAAATCGATTACTTAATTATATTATGACCAACTAATATTATATTTGGTTCAGTGCTCTTATGACTTTCTAAAAATTCAATAAATTGTAATATAGCAGACTCTCTGGAAACTGTAGCCAATTTATTGTCTCGACAGAATAAATTGCCATTGTTAACGGTCAATCCAGTTATAATTGATGCTTTTAGTTTAATGGATACTGTAGGAACTATATGAACATTAAAATTGCATTCTCCGTCATAGGCTGCAATCTTAATAACAATATATAATTTAATTAGTAGATAAAAAAATAATCGCAAACATTACGTATTGAAAGAACAGTACCTGACACACTTGGTCTTTATCCACACTAAAACCGGTAGTTTCAGTATCTACATACATTATTTTCCATTCTATTGAACTGTCAAATTGATAACTAGTTAATACTGTAGGGCATACGCTTGTCGACGGAGTTTCAATGGCAAGCTCTAAAATACCACTGAGACCTACATCACTTTCATAAGTGAGTCCTTCTTTCTGTTTATTTTTACTAGCTTTAGATGCTCTTGATTTTTTTAACGCCTTTCTTTTGATCTTTCCTGCTGGACTGTATTCAAATAATTTTTTCTTTGCCATTTTCTGTTCTTTTATTTGTCTGTAAGTTACGTTGCTTTTAGTAGGACTGAAGTTAGCTTTCTTATAGACTTCGTTAATATATGTATATCCTATGTTTTTTGTATTCACTGCGGCTGCTACACGGAAAGAAAAAGATTGAGAACCAGAAAAGTGCTTCGATTTAGGACATTTTAAAGCTACTCTGTGGTTAAATGATTCATTTTGTTGCGTCGATCCATTAGGAGCTAATTTTTCTACTGAATTGATATATCGATTCATTATTTCTTCTAATGGTATCTTTAGATCCGTGTTCTGAAGCGGTTTCTGCCTCGGTATAGTCTTATATACGGCATAGTTTTCTTCTTCAAGGTGAAACGTACAGAGAGTATGGTCGCCAAACGCATGCGGTACAATTGCTTTCATCCTCTCTCTGAGTAGATTGGGTTGCCCTTTGCATGCAGCAATAACGCCACTCAAGGAATTCGAAAAGTAATCTACTTGAGCTTTTGACAATGACAATGCGTAGAGAAAATTGGCAAATGCTTTGATGGAGTGGTTTTTATCAGACCATAATTCAATATCATGTGGACTAGCTTGCCGTAATCCGGCGATTGTACTTGAATCATTACACAGGACCACAAATGGGAACCGGAAAAAGTCCTTCGGCAAAATTGATACCCTATATGTATTTCGACGCGCTGATTCCAAATCCGAGGTCCACATAAGCCCAGCACGTCGTGTTCAAGGACATTTGAAGGTCAAACGCATTTACTACGGGAAAACATAAAATCTGACCACGGATTCGGAAAGAGCGGGAAATTTTACGTCCAAATATGTATTTTCTATTTTTTCCAACATGACCCTCCAAGGTCATCTGAGGGTCAAATGACTCACCGATAGATCAAATTCGTATTTCCCACATACATCATCACAACTAAAGACATGCGTACAAATGAGTCAGGTATCTTTAGGTTTCTCGATGCGCTGAATCCAAATCCGAGGTCCACATAACCCCAGCACGTCGTGTTCAAGGACATTTGAAGGTCAAACGCATTTACTACGGAAAAACATAAAATCTGACCACGGATTCGGAAAGAGCGGGAAATTTTACGTCCAAATATGTATTTTCTATTTTTTCCAACATGACCCTCCAAGGTCATCTGAGGGTCAAATGACTCAACGATCGATAAAATTCATGTATTCCATATACATCATTACACTACAGATTTTTAACTATAATTTGGTCACGTATCTTTAGGTATTTCGACGCGCTAAATCAAAATCTGAGGATCCTCGGTCTCAAATTCAAATATGAGTTACGGTGAGAACTTAGTTCATGGTTGTGTTAGCTCTCTTTATGGTTTTCTCGCGCGGATATTGCCAATCGATTCCAGCAATTAAAATTCACCTAGCTTGATATATAGACTTGATTTCAGATAGTGATGTCGATCAGTTTTCCCTTTAATCACTGAACAAATAAACAACTGTTGGACTCCAAAAACTATATGTTTAAAATGTAAGATACAACTGCACCAGAAAATATCGCAATACATCTCGCCAATGATTTGGCGTAATCCGACAGATCATAATACAGACTGTTACTTCTGTTTGACTGATACATGTGGATATAATCGTAAAAATGTATCCCAATTACGTTATCCATTCGTTACGTCTGTAACTCTTCCTGTTCTCGCCACCTTGGATGCTGAAGAACCTGAGATTTTAGAAATGCAAACAGAAGAATCAATGGGAGAGGGTTCAAGTAGAAGAGGTTGCACTGATAAAATGGAAGATACAGAAGATGATGAGCAAGACCAGACATTTAATGGGTTTAATCAAGAAGAGCTGAGTGATTTAGTTCGAGACACGGGACTTTCAAAAGAACTTTCGGAACTATTAGCATCTAGATTGAAAGAAAAAAATTGTCTGGCTCCTGGTACTTCCATCACATTTTACCGAAATCGTGATCAACAATTTAGAAAATTTTTTTCGAAAGAATGCGATTTAGTTTATTGCAACGACGTTGCAGGACTGATAAATGAATTTGGAAACGTAGAGTATGAAGCTATTGATTGGCGTCTGTTTATTGATTCTTCTACGAGAAGCTTGAAAGCAGTTTTACTCCATAACGGTAACATATACGCCCCTATACCAATTGGTCATTCCATTGTCTTGAAAGAGGAATATAGTAATCTCGATTTACTGCTACAGAAATTGCATTATGATACTCACGGGTGGCAGTTGGTTGGAGATTTGAAAATAACAACAATTTTGTTGGGTCAACAAAGTGACTTCACGAAATATCCATGTTTCATTTGTGAATGGGATAGCCGTGCCCGAGATCAACACTATGTGAGAAAAGAATGGCCACTTCGACAAAATTTGACCACAGGTAATAAAAATGTTTTACACGAAAGTCTTATACCTGCAAATAAAGTCATCCTCCCACCCTTGCATATTAAGCTTGGTTTGGTCAAACAGTTCATTAAAGCAATGAAAAATTCACAAGACGAAAGCAACGCTTTTATGTATCTCTTCGAGAAATTTCCAAAACTTTCGGAAGCAAAGATCAACGAAGGAGTCTTTGATGGTCCACAAATAAGAGAACTATTACGAGATGAAGAATTTGAAAGAAGAATGACGATAAAGGAACGCAAAGCGTGGCAAAGCTTTAGAGAAGTTCAGCATAAATTTTTAGGAAATAATAAAGACGACGATTACGAAGATATAGTAAATGAGATGTTGGGTAATTACAAAATAATGGGTTGCTTGATGAATTTGAAAATTCATTTTCTTCATTCTCATCTTGATTACTTTCCTGAAAATTTAGGAGACTTTAGCGAGGAGCAAGGAGAGAGATTCCACCAAGACTTCAAAGACATCGAAAGAAGATATCAAGGCTATTGGGATGTGAACATGATGTCAGACTATTGTTGGTCTCTTAAAAGAGACACTACTACTCCACACAAAAGAAAAGCGCTCCGCAGATCGTTTGCTAATAAAAGAACGCGTCATTCGTAAATCTTTTTGATCGACATCACTATCTGAAATCAAGTCTATATATCAAGCTAGGTGAATTTTAATTGCTGGAATCGATTGGCAATATCCGCGCGAGAAAACCATAAAGAGAGCTAACACAACCATGAACTAAGTTCTCACCGTAACTCATATTTGAATTTGAGACCGAGGATCCTCAGATTTTGATTTAGCGCGTCGAAATACCTAAAGATACGTGACCAAATTATAGTTAAAAATCTGTAGTGTAATGATGTATATGGAATACATGAATTTTATCGATCGGTGAGTCATTTGACCCTCAGATGACCTTGGAGGGTCATGTTGGAAAAAATAGAAAATACATATTTGGACGTAAAATTTCCCGCTCTTTCCGAATCCGTGGTCAGATTTTATGTTTTTCCGTAGTAAATGCGTTTGACCTTCAAATGTCCTTGAACACGACGTGCTGGGGTTATGTGGACCTCGGATTTGGATTCAGCGCATCGAGAAACCTAAAGATACCTGACTCATTTGTACGCATGTCTTTAGTTGTGATGATGTATGTGGGAAATACGAATTTGATCTATCGGTGAGTCATTTGACCCTCAGATGACCTTGGAGGGTCATGTTGGAAAAAATAGAAAATACATATTTGGACGTAAAATTTCCCGCTCTTTCCGAATCCGTGGTCAGATTTTATGTTTTCCCGTAGTAAATGCGTTTGACCTTCAAATGTCCTTGAACACGACGTGCTGGGCTTATGTGGACCTCGGATTTGGAATCAGCGCGTCGAAATACATATAGGGTATCAATTTTGCCGAAGGACTTTTTCCGGTTCCCATTTGTGGTCCTGTGTTATCCATGATTAGTCTAGCTCCGAATATATTGTGTTGTTCAAGTAATTTATTTTTTGTAAATACCTCAATTGCTATATCGGCCTCCATACCTTTTGCAGAACCATCGTAATTCATCCGACAATCATGTTTCTTTCCAGATACACAGGCGCGGCATGTTTTCGTACGAATCGCGTACGATCCAACTTTTTTTGAATTGTAACATACTTATTAATGCACCATGACCTGTATTAAAATTATATTTTCAGAATAATAATATATAATTTTAGAGTGCGTAAATTTGCAAATATTTGTTGCAAAAATCCTTCCATTTGCATTGCCATGACGCTTATAGCCTACAGAAAAATATATCAAATTAACTATATAAAATATTATTTTTACCAGACAAACTATTGTAAGCCCTTCCGGTACCTCTTTTCTGCCAGCCAGCATCATAACTAAATGTCAAACCAAATTTACCTGGGAATATTCTGCAATCAAAATGACAGAAACGATCGAGAATAAATTGAATGAAAAAAATTAGTGATTATATAGATTTTTATTCATGATACAAATTATACACGTTAATCATTATAATTGTATGTTATATTAAGATTTTTCATATTTGCGAATTATCCATACTATTTTATACTAATATTTATATTAATAACTTAAAATAACGGTATATAAATGTTAATATCTATTTTCACAAAAGTTATAATCTAAAATTCGTGTAAATAATTATTATAAAAAAATAATTGTTTGATTTTACAGAGTAAACAAGTTTAACTTTAATATTTTACATGTGGTATGTATAGCGTACTAGAAATGTTTAAATAATCATAACTTGATTGGAAAAAAATATAAATACCAACAATAATGTATTTAAATAAAAATAAAAGTCTATTTGTGCATTTTGTTATAAGTAAAAATCAAAGTAATAATGATTGTGCATTGTATAGTGTGTTTAAATTAATATAACGACCATTGTCAATTAATTGCAATTAATGAATAAAAATCAGTCTTGCAAAAGTAATCTATAAATTGGAAAATGAATCAAGTTTTCAATTATTTACAATTCAATATAAAATTTTAAGGTTCAATTTCACTATTCTGTACATTAATTCTTAGAAAGTTCAACCTTATATAATTGATATAGTTATGCTTTAATAGAACATTGGACAAGTTATTGAACTTTCTATTCATAAAACAAAACAGTTTCATCTATAGTTCATTAAACTACATGAATGCCCTACTTGTCCAAGACAATGTCATTTGCTTCTTTTGCCAAAGCAATTTCCTCTTTCAATACATTGCTGCAAGATTCTGCGGCAAGCTCTTCTATTTTTGGTCCAACAATCCTTTCATAACGCTTCAACAGTGTGTCTGACACCGTACCAATATTCAATGCTGATAGCAATAAATTAAATTGCGTTTCCCCAATGCCAC